ATCAACAACAACATCAAGCCTTTATCCCACTACGTGGGGTCGGCTACATGAATCCTTTTTCTCGTTTAAATTTAATAAAGAAAGGTCATTCCTAATATTTTCTAACCAAGTCTTTTTAGGTATAATTAATTATTTTTAAATTATAATTAATTATAATAAAAAGAGAAAGACCTTCCCTTGCCTTGATTCGCATGCCAACACCGTCGACGTCCCTTTGCTAAGGTATAAAGTTATGAACTCTGAGATCTCTCCTTCGGCGCTTGTAGCATGGCGAATAACCATGTGCGCTTTTCTTAGCACGGTGGGAGGAAGTTCGATGCAGTGCTAGCGACGAAGCGGGTAATCCCCTTTTAAAAGTCATGTTTTTGGCATTTGCAGCACGCCGAGGGACCCTCTATGCACGCTTGTCTTAGCATGGTGGGAGGAAACTCGATGCGATGCCTACTGTGAGGCAGGTGAGCCTTGTGCGCGCTTTTCTTAGCACGGCGGGGCAAAAATATAAGTACCCGTACGCAGGAAAAAACTGTTTTTTCAAACATGTATTTTTGAAAATCAATGTACGCCTTTCTTGGCGTGGTAAAGGACAAAGACAACGGCCGCAGTGTCCCACGACACTGACCGTGCACGTCTTTCTTGACATGGCGGGCAGGCTACAGGGGAGACGTCGGGAGGCTGCCGAAAATTTTAGTGAACAGAGGACTTGGACTTGGACTTATATTAGGACACAATGATTTATAAAACACTTGAACCTAAATAAAATGAAATTGAATATGAACTTGAACTTGTAACAAATGACAACGAAGTGGACTTAGACTTGAACTTGCAAGGACTACAGGGGACATAGAACTTGAGCTTACTACTTGAACTCAAGCAAGAATTTGATTTGAACAAAAAGAGACTTGTGAGCTTGGACTCAAATGAATTACAATGAACTTAATGTGAATAAAACTTGAACTCAAATAAACTTGGTGCAAGGAGTTTTGACTTGAACTTGAACAATGCAAATGACTTGATTTAGACTCAAGTGAACTTGCATGATTTGAACTAAAGCAAAGATTTGATTCAGAACCATAGTGGATATGAACTCGAACTCGAGCTTGAACTGAATTACAGGGAATTTGAATGACATCAAATTCAACATGTGAGACATGATATAATATTTAAAAAGAGATCATGATTGGTGAGCTAACTTGTCCAAAAGCATACACAAGACTTGCAATGAATATAGAGCCTACAAACATCATTTACTCACAATTGATAATGAAGAATCATGCAATCAAATGTCCAATGCTAATCAAAGAAAAATTTGAATCATTCAAATCCCATGCAAGCAAATGAAGACTTATGGTGTGGGAAATCTCTAGCATCTCATCCACAAATAGTGAAGTTAAGATGGTTTATAAATAGTTGCATCAAACCTTTGTAAATTGTTGAGGCTATTGAGTTTAATGAGACATCAATAGACATGAGTAAAGGAGTTGTGATGAACATGTCCCAAACATGTTCCACCTACGAATGATGTAAAGGGAAGCTACAAAAGAATACACTTTGATTGTCAACATTTATTCGAAGTTCTCTTCAATGAATATCGTTGTAAGCAACAATGTGGAACACCTCGATCATGAATAATGACCAATATGGAGTGAACAAATGATGCAAACAGGTGATGTTGATTGCAAGCAAACATCAATGATACAAGTCCACCATGCACACTGTATGTCATCTATAAGGAGAAATGCAAAAAGGGCTGTAACAAGTACATAAGACATTCCAGAAGATGTAGTACCCTGCAGTCAGCACCAATTTGTGGATGAACACAATGACATTCGCAAGCAAAAATACATTGATCCGTTGTAAGCAAAGGTAGAGGACATTCAGCAAGTGTGAACACCTACGGGATGCTATATGAGACCCGTCACGTGAACACCATGTGTTGTGGGAGACCCGTCATGAGCTCAATACACTACCTACAACTAAAGTTCAAAAGACCATCAACGAATATATGACTCGCTTACAACGCTCCTACAATCAACGATCATTCAAGAGCCACCAAATATGTCAATTCATTGCAAATAGAGGAAGACAATACATAAAAACCATGAACTCCCACAAGTTGCTATAGAAGACCCCTCGTACACCCAATATATTGTTTACAAGCAAAATACAAATATCTACGAGTAATTATAAAAGATCCATTGTGCACTCAACATATCACCTGCGGGAAAACACTGAAGAGAACCGCAGCAGATATAATGCCTAGTCGAAAATATCACTAGGATCCATTCTCAAAAAATCTCCTGCCAATAAGTACGTGGTACGTGTCATCTGATTGGTGGTTTTGCCGCCAAATGTCATTGCAAATAAACGGTTATGACCCGGGCCCTCTGAACCGAGTGATTTTGCCGCCAAATGGCATCACGAAATATCAGTTATAGCCAAAGCTAATACGTTCCTTAGTGACATCAAATCCTTGAGATATGAATTAATAGGATAAAATTGATAGGGCAAAAAGCCCTCTGTTAGCTAAGGTGGATTCAAGTTTGTCCTCTTAGACAAACATTCACCCCAGGTCTACAAGGTCCCCTTGGACGAATCAACCCATGACTGTCAACAAGGATCCTTATGTCAGGTTGAGTCGACTACCTTCTCTGACTAAGTAGACCAAGGACCACGATGGCCTAGGACAACGGAACTATGGAATATTGATCGGGTCCATCATCTATTCCACCACCATCCGCTTCAAGTGCAAGATGGTGAAATTTCTATTTTAAATATCAAATCTTCCAACACTTCACAATTCCAATTCTCAAGCTCATGCTGCTACTATATGTCGGATACTATGTATCTACGGATACGACGTATTCATCGACGGCTAGCCTTAATAGAAAGTTCTCTCTCGTTACCGGGAGGGGTAATTAACTATAGGGACTTGCGTATATAGGAAACTAGAACTCATATTATAAAGTCCTCGCAAAATGAGGGTGAAATCTCTGGGTAGTGTCTTATTTACAAACTCATCTACCTTCCAAAGTTTACCTCGGAAATTAATCCGTTAAAACTCCCCCCGAAGAAAAGCAATGTGGGGGAGGCTAGGCCGAATTTTTGGAGCCCACAAGGTCTCAACACCATCTTATAAATTTCCCCTTAAGTTTGAGGGGTGCTTTCTATCACACAACAAGATTGAGGCATTCCTCCACTTTGACCGATGAATTGTACTAATAATATCCCCAGTTATTTCACCATTGCTTTGAACAATATACTTGAGATATCTAAAATGTGCACTCTTTTAATGACTTGATCACACAATGTCAAATTCCACCACTATATCTATTACCATTAAAATTACACTCCATCTATTTGGTTTTAGATATAGTCAAACAAAAATCTTAAGATTCTAAGGTTGACGTCGATAAGTTTTTAAAAAAATAGATACGTTTTTTTTAAATAATAGAATAAAGAAATCAATGCCCCCACCAAGACGGAGTAGAGAACAAATATAGCAATAGATTAATAATGATAACAAAAATTATTGACTCACCTGCAATAGCAGACAACAAACTATCACATTATAAAGTCAATCATAACTTGACTAAGAATATTTACTGGGATCTATCATATTAGAGGAAAAATTTAATACAACAAAATTTAAATCTAATCTATACTGGAGGATCACACTACTATTGGCTCCAATTATTCTCATTTTCCTTGATTACTATCCATAGGCAAACTCATGGTCGTGGATCTCAGCATAACGGCACAAAGAATGAAATTCCTTCAATATGACACAACGAGGCTATGCATCAACTAACTTCACTTGTGTGGGAAGAATATCACAACAATATATTGAGTATAAAATATGTGGCAAAACAAAACATTCTACCATAAAATGGTGGCAGACAATTGATCACTCTTATCAGTTCAATCTGCAAGTGTAAGTTGCACGGGAATTTGAAACAAATGCCGACTAATTTTTAGATTCAACAAACTCGAGAAGTCAAAACTATCAAAAAATGACATTTGATAACAGGTTGGTAATTTTCTGAAGGAGACTTATTAAGAGGTTGATTCTATCATAGCTTCCTTCACAAGTTTAATTAACAAGGGGGATTTAGTTAAAATATGCAAATCAAGCTCTTCTGGACATTATTACATTGTGTGCGGTCTAATGCTCCAATCTGGTAAGTTGTACCTCCAAATATTTTCTAAAATCTAATGGTGTAGGCGTCTCCAGAGAAATTTAACGATACTAATCAAGAAAACTCCACGAATAACATAAAATTCTTTTCCATTATACAAGCCATACTATTGGTGAACTAATCCGCAGCCTAGAAAGTTCTAGCATATTTTGATCACCGAGCACCACAAAATTGAATTCCCAAAAGAGATTTAAGACCCTAATTGATAGGTCGGTGGATTTATTATAGCAGTACACTCTGTTCCTCAACACTACACAGGTGTTGAAAACATGTTCAAGCAGACACATTGTTACATACAAAGGATGCTATAGTGATTGCTTTGAGAGTATCCAGAACGACCCTACCAATCAAGATTTTGCTAATATGCTACATTGACAAGTGCTCCTCCCAAGGGTAATCTAAGAAGGCAAAACTTCTTAGTTTCAAGAAATAGGATGGAGAGTCCGGATCAGAAAAATTAGGAAACAAACCTAAACCAAAAATTGCATTACAAGTTGAAGAAATAAAATGTGAAATATCAATAGTGAAACTTCTAACTAGAGACTTTTAGTCGAAAGTGATCAATGATACTTCACATACGTGTAAACTAGCATCAAAAAGATAAATGCTTCCTGACATTCAAAACTTACTGTTTATATTTTTGACGAATAATTAAAATCCACTAGCCTTCCAAGTATCGGGTAATATCAAATTAACAAGTTACTAGGAACGGAGTCCAAGGGGAAAAATGAAAAGGTGGCTCCAAAAAGGATTAAATCCTTCAAGAATTACAAACAAAACAAGGCCAAATCTCAGAGCCAGAAATGATAAACCTAAAAGCTAGGAGTTGAATAAGTAAATAAAGATTGGAGCAGAATTAAACCCCACAGTTAACGGCCTACAATTGTTAACAAACAATACATGTGATGCATACAAACTTGGCCTGCATAGATTTTTGATGCTAAGAAATGCAAATGGGGTGATAAAGCTAATATCATAGACAAGTTTATCCACAAAATCAGCAAATAAGGATATATTAGGAAAGCATACTGTGAGGAGGACGTTCAGTGACTGCTCAAACTTGATAACCCATTTCTCCACCATACCAGGTTCCTTTGAAGATGAGTTATCATCATCTGTTGGCTCTTCAACAATGTTAGGTATCGTCTTAACATGAAAATAGTCTTCCACTCCCACTTGTTCTTCTTTCTCTTGCAAGGTTGCTGCCCTTCTCTGGAATGATTTCCTACAAAGATAGAAATAAAAAAAATGCTAATAGAAATATGGAAAGCAAGTTAATTTGCAATAGGGTATAGAATCAAATTTTTTGTGGTGCAAACTTCTATCATCATAGAGAAAACTTCTTTGCAACAAATATATCTTTTTTATTCATTGCGTTTAACCTTCTGATAAAATAATCAGGAAAAAAAAATCCATTCTTTAATCACATAAAAAACTGCAACATTTTCTATCAATAAAAACAATGATACGCATTAGCAACTTATTTATCACTATTATCAGCATTGTTATCTTAGTTATTACGTCTGTTCATTAGTCTTATCCATGTGATATATTTCCCTTAGCCTTCCAAATTGATGGTAAGGGCTCAAATCTATCTAAGGAAACAAGTCTTATGCCAACTAATTGGCGCCAACTTCAAGCTCATTTTTCAAAAGCAGTATGAAATTATATTTTCCATTTACTAAAGATCAACGGATAACAGAACTGACGTCTGTAGTTCTCTTTAACAACAGTTTCATCATTTTCTAAAAAGAACAATACAAAAAAAATTAAAGCGCACAATCATTCTCTAAGCTAAAATCTCATACAATGAACAATGATGGATAGATTGAATAATTACCAACTTATTTCATCCACATTATGAAATACAATTTTCGTTAACACAAAACATGAGGGATCAAACAACGACCTTCTTTAACCTTCTTTAACGTAAGATAAATTCTTTCCTAGGAAACTGCCAAAGTTCCGAAAATTGCATTGAGTTCTTCAATTACCCTCCGGGAGAACTACTTCAGGTGTTATGTAATATAAAATAGAATATGTTATTGACTCTTATTTCGGTGGATACAAGCTTTTATGCATTTTTTCTTGATTTTAGATGTTTTTCAGAACAATAAACCATTAAATCATATACATTCAGGATAAATAAGTTGGGTTTTCAGTGGGATAAATCTTTTGTTTTTTCCATGCATACCTAGTTGTTTCGTTGGTGATTGTCTTCCTAGTGAAATTGAATTATTGTTTGTTTTCTTTCATTGTCATTGGATAAGCTGTATTAGATAATGATTTATTTAATACATGGATCTTTATATTGACAGCTAAAACAATGTCAGATGAGAGGAGAAATAGTGCGTTGGTTCCTATTTTTAAGAATAAAGATGATGCACACGACTGTGTGAATTATAAAGGAATTAAGTTATGTGTCATACGGAGGATCATCGAGCATAAATGATTTGATACTAATATTTATCAAAATTAGTTTGGATCATGCAGAGCAAGTCTACTATGGAAGTTATACATTTGTTGAGAGGTTTGCTGGAGAAGTATAAAGAGAGTAAGGAGAATTTACATATGATATTTATTGATTTAGAGAAAACATATGATAAAGTTCTAAGATAAATGCTCTGGAGAGTTCTAGAAAAGAAAATAGTTAAGAATGATTATATTCAAGTTATTAAAGATATGTATATAGGAGTTGTTACTTGTGTTCAAATACAAGATGATTTGATTAAATATTTTTCCCATTTTAGTTGGATTATATCAAGGATTAGCTTCAAGCCTACATCTTTTTTGCTTTAGTCATGAATACTCTTACTAGACATTTGCAAGAGGATGTAACTTAGTGTATGCTTTTTGCTGCTGTTATTTTTTTTGTTGATAAGATGAGAGGGAGTTAATGAAAGACTTGAATTATGGAGGTCAACTTTAGTTTAGTTTTGGTTTGACTAGATCTAAAACCAAATACAAGGAGTGTAATTTTAGCAGTAATAGATCTAGTAATGGGATTGCAACATTGGGTGATCAAGTCATTCAAAAGAGTGTGCCTTTTAGAAACATGGGGTCTATTGTTCAAAGTTATGGAGAAATAGATAGAATATTGTTAGTACAATTCAAGTTGGATAGTTGAAGTAGAGGAATGGATCGGGCTTGTTGTGTGATAGAAAAGTTCCCCTCAAACTTAGGTGAAAATTTTATAAGTTGGTGGTGATGCAATACTTTATGGCGTAGAATATTGGCCAATAAAAGAGAAATATAAAATTAAGTTAAGTGTTGCAAAGTGGCTTTACACTTAGAGACAGAATGTCAAATGAATATATACATGAAAAAAGTTTGATTTGCTCAAACAGCAAATAAGATTAGAGAGAATCACCTTAGATGGTTTGGTCACATAAAATGCCGGTTGTCCGATGAAGGGTAGATGTATTAGATTAGGCCTATGTTAAAGGTTAAACCTAAAAGATCTGGTTAGAAAGTATTAGAAATGACATTTTTCATTATATTTAAATGAGAATTTGACTCTTAATATGACATAATGGAGAAAGATGATTCATATAGCCGACACCATGTTGTGGGATAAAGACTTGATGTTGTTGTTGAATTTTAACAGTCACTTCTCCCCATAGTAAATACAAATCTATCAAAAGTTTTGAATCTTCAATTGCATTTGGGAAGAAAGCAACCAATGACAAGGATAGTATCTAAAAATAAGAGTTGGAAACCAACAATATATAACAACAACAACATCAAGCCTTTATCCCACTACGTGGGGTCGGCTACATGAATCCTTTTTCTCCATTGTGTCCTATTAAAGGTCAAATTCTCGTTTAATCTAATAAAGAAACCAACAATATACATTAGATAAAAATACTTAGACTCGTTGAGTTGAATTTGCATGTGACAACAAAGTAGAAGTTCAAAGTTCAGTGCTTTCATCATCTAATTTCATTAAATCTTGTCTCCCTAGCCTATTATTGCCTCATACAGGCATAAAATTAATACTGATTAATAATTACATTTTTTTCTAATGCATGCATATTTGAATTGTAATTTTAATGTCCATGCATAATTAGAATTACTGTGTATGATTCTAGGAACTTGAGAAGGGAGAAGAAATGATAAAAAATCTACTTGATAGTTCTAAAAAAAGGGCCTAGCATAACTATTTTAAGTGGCCAAAAGAACACAAATTGTTTTTGAAGAGATAATAATGGAGCACTTTCTACTAGGAAACATTTGGAATTACAAGAAATAGATAGGTGATGAGATTGTCACCACCTTAGAGCAAGGTTTTAAAAGGAGAAATCGGGAATCGAGGCGTTTTTTCTAAACGAGGCGAGGCGTAAGCCTCGAGGCGGATCGAGGCGTAAGCCTCAAAACGATTAAAATAAATTAATTTAAAATTATAAATAATGACAAAAAATAACAAAATATTATGTCAACTATGAATTTGAAGATTTGTTTTAAGATAATATTACTGGAATACAAGATTTAAAATAAACTCATTTAAAAATAAAACATCCCCTTAGGATCAAGACCCAAAGCAGGCTCGTCATCACTTTGATTATCTTCAGAATAATCTTCATAATTAATGTCAAAGTCATCCTCAAACTCTTCTTCATCTATAATATTTTTTCCTTTATCTCCTATATCAGTTAATATTTCATTAGCTATAAAATGAAACAATAGTAACATACAAAATAATTCATTATATTTAAGAATACCTTTGAATTTTTTTTAAGCTTCAATCTCACTTTGTTTCTTCCTTTTATATACTTGGGCAGTTGCTTCATTATCTTCTTCATTGACATGAGTTTCTCCTTCTACTTCAACTTCATAAACATCAGCATTCTTAGGAGTAACCCATTCATCATCAGATTGTAACTCATCAACAAGCAAAGGATCAATTTCATTCTCAATATTTCCTTGATTCTGCAATTTGAGATATCTATCTTTTAATTTTTTGTTAAACATAACATAAACTAGTTTGTTTATTCGATCTGCCGCCAATTGATTTCTCCTCTTTGTATGAATTTGATTGAAGATACTCCAATTACACTCGCATGCAGAAGCCGAACACGTTAGGCTAAGAACTTTAACTGCAAAAGCTTTCAATTCAGAAACATCATCTCCAATTACTTTCAGTTCTCACCCGAAGCAGAAGCAAGTATGTTACCCTAATACTCGACTCTTATACGACTCTCACCGCTCGGTCTATATACTTACAAATCAAAGCGGTGCCTCGTTTCGCTTCGAGGCGTTACAAACCGAAGCCTACGCCCTGTGCGAAATAAGCGCACGCTCCGCCGAATCCAACGAGGCGTAAAAAATAACAGTGCGTACGCCTCTTCCTCCTTTTTAATCGTTGCCTTAGAGCATTACATTAATACAAAGTATCACATTGGCGTTAGTATAACGTATTTTAAGAACATGAAGAGTGATTTCAAGAATGTTATGAGATAGTTAAATAACAGTGGATATAATGGGATAAGGAACTTGATTTTCCAATAGTAAGCTATGAGATATGAGATGAACTTTTTCAGGTTAATCATTAGTGCAAGATATATTGTAGGAGCAAACTCATTCTAGTTAGCTAATCACACATTGAATTTACCATGTATATTTAAGTCAAAAACTTGCTATACCATTAAAATATCCACTTATGGTTGAAGAAGATATACATTCTAATACCTACCCATTACTAGGCATGCTTGAGATCAGCATTCCCGATAATGCACCAAACCTTGAGGACCTGAATATAATCGACTTCAACAACACAAATGTACGGCCTTTGAAAATGTTGATCAAAATAAAGTGAAGTATACCCTAATCCTCAAAGACTCATATGTAGTTTACCCTAAATATTATATTGATGTTGCTTGACTAAGTATGATGGTACATAAGGGGTATGCCTAAATCTATGGTAAGAAGTTTAACTATGCTGTTTTTGGTTATTATACCTCCGATGGAGAATCACACAAAGTGAAAATTCTGTTGTGGAATGAGATATATAGTTTTAAGTATTCAAATAAAATTTATTAATCACATGGATTAGGAAAATTATTGGTGATTTCATTAACTTGGTAATTTTTAATTCACAAAACCTTGGAAATATCTTTAAATCCCCACATCTTCCAATCTACAACAAAAAAAATGAGGGATTGAGCAGGATTTAAAATTTTGCTCAACCAAATAGTTAGCAGGATTTACACAGAAAAGATTTATTAAACAGTAGTTATTTAGATTATTTTCAATCCGGATTCACCAAATCCTACTTCCATCCAAACACCCTAGCTGTAGAAATATGAGAATTTTACAATGACAAGACAAAAAAAAAAGAATCGGACAAAAAAAACCCTCAATGATCTCATCCAAGAAATAGATGCCTCAACGTATAGCAGACAAATGACCAATACCAAAATATCAGAAAACATCTATGAAAACAGATTCACAATCAATAATGCATCAAGCGCTAATTACTCCTCAAATCATACGAAACGAGCTACGGTCATTCCAAAACGCAACAAAACCGTACCTAGAAAGCATCCTGCCCGATAAGGAGAGATAGGTAGGACGCAAGAGAATATTATAAGCAAAAGGTGCGGAAGAGGACGCTGTGAAGGGCCTGATAATCACCGCTTTTGTCGTTCTGTATGAATGAGAGGCAAAGAGGGAAGCGGAACGCGCTGCCACCGTCGCCGCCATGGCTTTCTCACCCACCGCGTCTCCTTCGGAGTCAGAAGGGGAGCAGGAGGAGGAGCCGAAGAAAAAGACCGGTCGCTCTCAAGCTCTCTCAGCCCTCCGCCTCGTTTCCCTGCAGATTAGAGCCGAAGTTTATTTTTTTCTACTTTATCAGCTAGAAATTAAAGCCAGTCAAAAAGCAGATCAAAACCGTATATTGAAGACCAAATCAAGACAGAGGGAAGAAATTTTAACTGTTTTTTATAGCAAGTATTTTAAACTTGGGAGATTTATATACATACCACTTAATATTATTTTATTTACATATTTAATATCTAAAATTTTAATATTACATAAATACCACTCATTGTTCATTTTCATATCAAATATGAGTGGTAGAAATGAAATATATGAATGATATGAAAGAAATATAAGTGGTATATTTGATATTAAAATAATATAGGGTGGTATACATGTAATATTAAAGTTTTAGGTGTTACATATGTAAATAGGATGTTATAAAGTGGTATGTATGTAAATTTCCCTTTAAACTTTCGGCCTAGAATATCTAAAATTGACCTAAAAAATCAATGTTTTGCTGAAATTGGTCTCAAGTTATTGCTAATGAAACATGTTTCTTACTGCATGTTAAATACTAATGTATCAGTTTCATAAGAAAATTCATCACATATATACAAAAAAGAACATTGCAATGAGACACCAAAATTTTTATCTAAAATTTTTTGGAATTAAAAACAATTCATAGGATATGGGTTAGTTGAAAGTATTTCACTTATATATTTGTAGAGTACGAAAGAAGCACTTTCCTATAATTTAGGAAGAGTGTTCATACAATATAGTTGAAATGAACTTAATCATGGAATTAATGGTGGAAGATTGAATTAATGATGGAAGTATAGGAGTATTGAGATTATTTATGATGTGTTTGTTTGTTCTCTTTAAGGAAAAAAAAACTATAAACAAATAAGTCTACTATAACTATTGATTTTGATTGTTTTCTTTTAACACTGTCGTCACGATGTCTCAAGCTTTGAATGAGAAAAGTGGAGGATTGTGTTAGATAGTTAACAGCTAGCATGAAACTTATTGAATAATCATGGCATGAATTCTTTAAAACATTATGTTAATGCTAGGGCGTTTCCTGGAAAAACTTAGTGTTTACAAGGGCAGCTACACCGGTGTACATGTATTGTGTTAAATAAGCAAGGGTCCCCACTTCATTAGCGGATATAGGTGAGGAAGCTAGTCTATGAAACTAGAATTATGATAGAAACTTTAGATATAGAATTTCTTACAAGCAAATAAATGGAAATAATATATATTATGATTTATAATAATGTAAATATTATATGTATTCATGAAACTAAATGAGTTGGAGAAAAGGCTATAGAGATTGATAGCTTGAGATTTAAACTTTGGTATTCAGGTTGGAATCGTATTAGAAATGGTGTATGTGTGATTATATATAAAAATTTGAAGAATAATATTATAGAAATTAATAAATTGGAGATATAATTATAATTTTAAAGATTATTTTTTATGATAAGTTTATTAATACTATATGTTATGCTTCACAAGTAAGTTTGAAGATTTGTTTGAAATTAAAATTTTGAAATAATTTAAAAAAATTAATACAAATGATACCTCTCGAAGAAAAGTTTTTATTGGAGGATATTTGAATAAATGTGTTTGTAAAGTGGTAGAAGATTTTAAAAGCATTCATGGTGGCTATATATTTAGAGCAACTAATGAACGTAGTATGACTATATTAAACTTTGTTTTATCTTATAATTTTGTAATTATTAATACCTTTAAGAAAAGAAAAGAGCATCCTATTACTTATAAGAATTCACAAAGAAAAACTTAGATTGATTTTTTTATAAGAAAATAGATCATTTAGATTGTAAATATTGTAAAATCATTCCAATAAAAATTCATGTATCTACTATCGCTTATTAATCTTAGATTTTAAGATGAATGGGTGAAATATAAAAAAAAACTAAAATATCATTATAGGATTAAATGGGGGCATTTAAACAATGTAAATAAAATATTTTTGAGAGTAAGATTAATTCAAGAACTTAAGATTTAGATTGTTCATAAGGATGCTAATATTTTGTAGGAAAAAAGTAGTTAGTGATATTAAAGAGGTTACAAAGTTTGTGCTTGGAGAATTAAAAAGAAAAACTTCTAATAGTAAAAATAGTTGGTGGTTGAATCAAAATGCGCAATAAAATATAAAAAATAAGATACTTTGTTATAAAAATTTGTTTAAATGTAAAAACTTGAAAATTTTAAAAATATATAAAGATGCTTGTAGGGACTCTAAGAAAGCAATATACGATGCAAATAATATAGTTTTTAATAATTTATATAATATATTAGATGCTAATGAGAGTGAAAGTTATATGTATAAATTATCCAAGCAAAAAATATATGAGAAGGATCCAATTCTAATGAAGTGCATTAAGGATGAAGATGAAATATATTTTTTTTCTTAAAAAAGAAATTTCAACATATGTGGATTAGATATTTTGATAATCTTTTCATTGAAGTTTGTGATGATACGATTGATTTTAGTGATCTCAGCTAGGGGTGCAAACGAGTCAAGCCGACTCGTGAGCTCACTCAAGCTCGACTAGTTAACGAGTTCGTAAGTCGAGCTTATCGAGTATCAAGCTCGAGCTCAAGCAGAATTTTGAGTTCGGTGTATTATCGAGCTCGAGTTTGAGTCAGGACCTATTCGGCTCGGGTGCTCGTCGATCCGGCTAGATTAAAAGACGTCGATTTGAAATTTGCAAATTCAGTCTGAGCGGGCGGTTTGTGAATTAAGTTTGAGCGAGATTTTCAGACCAGGAGAAAAGTTAAATCGGACGTCCATCGTTCGTAGGTTAAGTAAATACATAATGAAAGCTGGTCTGCTACTGCTTGGTTCGTAAGACGTAGAGTGCGGCTACGGCGTGAGGCGTCCTTCCCATTCGTGAGCTAGGGCATCGCTTATTGGCTTCGTTCTTCTGGTGCTCGAGCTACCAACTGCTCTGATTAGGTCAGTAAGTACTTTAGAAGTCCTATCAATTGCTCATTTGTTCTTCAATCTTTATTTTTTTCTGAAGTTTTGCTTGTGCTCTTAGTTTTTTTTTTTTTTTTCTAAACTTCTTCTTGTGGTCAAGCGGGAGAACTTTTGGCGAGTTGTCGACAGCGTTTAGAGGCACTCTTCCTGTGCACGAGAATCTAATAGGAATATTTTTTTCCTTTGGCTATTCTGATTTGCATGCCCATTTGCACGCCGATTTGTGTTTAGGATGTTCATATTTACACGCTGATTTTTTTCAATTAAGTTGATCATATCTATTAGAATGAATACTCTTTCTATCTCCATTAGCGATAAAGCCCAATATGGATTATCTCTAAGGCATGGTAAAATAAAAGTTTTTAGTCCTCTTAAAAAAAGAGGTATCAATGATATATTTATAAATTGTAAACCAATATGGATATATTTATATTTTTCGTATATGATGGCATAACTAACATCTTCAACGAGAAGAGGGATTATTTTAAGTAAAATCAATCTTGATTGGTTTTTCGATTGTTTTGATCAATGAGTCCCTATAAAATCAAAGGAGCCTATCTTATAAATACAATCTTTCTGCTGGTGGAATTAACTATGTATTAAGGTCTTCTTGCATCACATATTCGATGATTTCTAGGTTTTAATATTATTACTCCTCACTATTGCCTTATGTTATCTTGTTTTCATTCCTACTTTTTATTTGTTGCGTGTCATTCACACTTCAGCTATCAAAATGTCGCCTTATCCCATTGTTGAAGATGACATTAGTGAAGAAATAATTTTGGAGACAGTTGATGAAGTAACATCTAATAGTATAGAAGCAAATGTTCTTTTGACTGAAAATGATGTTATGGTGGAGGAAAATAAGGGTGTAAAAGAAAATGTTATAGGTACAAGTAAGCATGATGAAGATGCTAACCCCGTTGCCATAAAAAAATGAAAGAAAACATCATTTATTTGGGACGAGTTTAAGGAAGTGAAACTTGTTAATGGTCAGAAGAAAGGAGAATGCATTCATTGTAAGTGGGCCCCTATTCAATGAAGTACCTATTTCATCCATCTCCTATCACCTCCTTTTTTTATTTTCTCATTCTTTCATCCATCATTTTTTTTTATTTCTTCTTCTTTTTAGTCTTTTCTTTTCTTCTCTCTCTCTCTCTCTCTCTCTCTCTCTCTCTCTCTATATATATATATATATATATATATATATGATAATGACACAACCTCTATTAGCATTACTTAATAATAATAGCTGTGTAATTATATTAACTAACATTAACAACAAATTGATGAAACTTACACATGAATTTTTATAAAGATTTAGTTAAATGGGCTGCTTTGGGTTATTTGGTGGATTTGGAAATGGAATTGGGTTGTTTGCTAGGTGAGTTTTGAGTGGGCCAAGAGGAACTATATATTGCAAGCCTGAATTTTCTTAGAGATAGTTGTTGTAGCTGGAAACTAGGTAATAATAAGTTTCACATGGAGGAGCTCATACAAGGAGGTGGTAGGGTCGAATATAGAAGTTGTTCAAAAAAAAAAAAAAAAAAAAGAGATCAGCTACTGTTTACATTTATTGGAGGATCTGAGAAATGCATGGTCGCGTGAACTTCAGCTGAGGTGTGGCTGACAAGTGTTGTAGATTTGAGGTTGGGTCTTGTTATATATGGAGCCGGATCAGAGGTTGGGGTCGGAAGAGCGAGGCGTAGCTTGCTGTGAGCACCACAAGCCGAGCTGAGAGGGTTGGTGATCTGCAAGGATAGAAGGATCTCACGGATTAGGGAGCTGGATCGGGCGAGTAAGGTGTAGGGCACACGATCAATGTAGACTGTACGTGAGTGAACATCCGATCTTTGGCCTGTGTGAATGTGGTTGGCGACCCAAGGAGTGACTGGATTAAATGTATCGGGAGTTTAAGAAAAGGTCTAGGTGGTTGTGTAGGTTGCAAGGCTAGGTATAACTATTCAGACAGGATTTTGACAGAGGAGTTGCGATTGTAGGAAGTCAGGCACGGTGCAAGGCTGCAGAGTTTGATTTGAAGGTGAACATGAAGTGTTAAAGTATAAGGATC